GGTTATCTTAGTGAAATGCTCATCATACCATGGGCTAAAAATAGATACTGTGGGGCTGGAGAGATGGGTCAGCAGTTAAGAGCACTGGCTGCTCTTTCAGAGTACTGAGTGGGGTTCAGTTCCCAGCACCTACGCTGCCACTCACAACCCTCTGTAACTCTAGTTCAAAGAGCTCCAATGCTCTCTTCCAGGGCACCAGGCACATACAGGGTGCACAGCCATGCATGCAGGCAAAACACACCGTACACTTAAAATAAAAACACACATTTAAAGCTAAAAGAAACAGAGACCATGACAGAGCTAAGAGAGTCAAGGAAAGGACAGGCAGACACAGGGAAACTCATGCACAAGATACCCAAAGAAGTTTGGATCTGAGGAAAGTGGGGTGCAAGGTCAATCACAAAAGATGTAGTAGCCCCAAGACACAACCACAGGGCTCATCTTGTCACAGATGTCTTGATGACATTCTCAGGAGGCCAGTGAGCGCCTGGGGCGGGGTTGGTTAGCTCAGTAGATAGAGTGTTTGCCTAGCATGCATGAAGTCCTGGGTTTGATGCATAAAACCTGGGTTTGGTGCAGGACTGTAATCTCAGCACTTGGAGTCAGAGGCAGGAGGGTCAGGAGTTCAAGGTCATCTCCAGCTACCTAGTAAACTGGAGGCCCTCCTGTGCTAAGTGAGACGGTGTCTTAGAAAAAAACAGAAAAGGATACTGTGGGATCAAGTCATCTGGATTTCTGTGCCTCCGACACTCCCCCATTCTTCTGTTTGCACTCTCCCCCAAATTATCTACTTATTATTTGATTTACATTGACTAGAAACCGGACACCAAGTAAGAAACGAGCAAATAATAATCATCTATTTTTTTTAATGTAGTCAAAATGCAGCTGGACCTAAGTCATGATATATACGAGGTTCTTCCCTGGCAAAGCACGGTGAGCAAAAAAAAAAAAAAAAAGTTCTAGCACCTTGACTTAGCCGAAACATAAAAAGCTCAAAGATGTGAAACCCATCCGAGCAGGCCATAAAGACACCGCTGCCTTCGCCTCGAAACTTGGGCTATGATCTGCTGCCCTGGAACAAAATCCCAACATAAATCACCTCCCACTGTATGTTTAAACCACCTACGAAGCTCTTCATTTCCTGCCTGAAGTGCTTCTGACAGTGAGCGGTGCCGCTCTCCCTCACCCCTGCTCTGAAAAAGGCTCCCTTGAGGGTACTGCCGAGGACCAGAGCCTGGGTCTCACAGTTCAGGCGAGTCCAGAAAGAGGGGAAGGACAGAAGGAACCATCTGGAGCTTGGGCTGGAGCCGGCCTCCGAAGAGCTGTTACCCAAAGTTGGGGAGGGCTCTTCCTCCTGGCACTCCCTACCAACCGGGATGCCCTCTCCTACCACTGGCCAATACAGCCTCATCTATGCCCTCTGACCTAGAGCCCCTGCCAAGTCACCCCAGATGCCCACAGCATGGTCTTCTAACAGAGCCACTAATGCAGCAACAGCAGGTACCACGCTGCTGGCGTTTAATTATACCATGCCTGGCATGGCGTTTGCTATTTCATGCTGTCGGTCTGTCTCTCTAACTAGATTAAAGATATCATGAGGGTAATAATGAGTTCATCTTACAGTATATGTCTGCCTCACTGCTGACCATGGTGCCTCACATCTGGGCACCTTCCAAACAGCAAGGTCCCAGAAACAGTTGGCAGGTTCTCTCTGCTCTGTCCATTTCCCTGTCTACAGAGAAACAAAGAAAGTCAAAGGGGAGGCTTGACCGGCCCAAGGTTGTACCATGAGAACTTTCCAGAAGTGACCCAGGTCTCCCGACTGCCAATGCACATGCTCTATTTGCCTTAACCCCTCCAAAATCCTCAAAAAGATATTTCAGGCCCATGGTTCCCTGGGGAACAGAGACACACGCAGACCGTCATACCCCAGGACTCTGTCTGCTCCTGGGCAGGATTGCAGGCCAGGCTGGAGAAAAGCTCAGTCAACAGCCCTGCTGGGAATCCAGGCTAGGTCTCTGTACTTGCTGGGTGGAGCTGGGTGTGTAGGGCAGATGCCCTGGGTGTCTGTGGCCCTCCCCTCACACCACTCATCAGACTGTGACTGACAAGTGGCGAGGGGACAGGGCGGGCCCTCATTGGAGAGACACCAGTGCCTGCCGGGGCTGCCGTCTGCAGCGAACTCCACATCCCAGGTATTTGCCTCAAACTCCAAACCACAAATGCTTTATAAAGACATGAAGGCTGACAGAAACCAGGCTCAAAACAAATGGCAGAAACTGGTGCACAAACCTGGTCACAGACTGGGGCTCCTCAGTCCTGGAGCCCCTCCTGGTCACTCCCTCTGCAACTGCAATGTCTTAGCAGTTCTCAGAAGGACCTTCCACACCTGGCACTCATTGACAGACAGGGAAACGGAGAACGGAAGTATTTGTCCCACATTGCCACGTTGTACAGCTGCTCAACAACAGAGGAGAGATTGGAATCCAGGATAGCTGCACGGTAAAAGCCCCCCCCCCCCCACTACAACTCAGAGACTTTGATTCTGGCCCTTTTTGAGATTTATGTTTGTTTGTTTTGGTCCCCTCCCCATACACTTTAAGACGGGTTTTTCTGTGTAGCCCTGGCTGTCCTAGAACTCACTTTGTAGACCAGGCTGGCCTCGAACTCACTGAGATCCACCTGCCTCTGCCTCCCAGAGTTCTGGGATTAAAGGTGTGCCACCATGCCTAGCATTTTTGACTATTTATTTGTTTTTATTTATGTGCTTGATTATTTTGGCTGTATGTTTTATCTGTGTAGCATGTGTTTGCAGCGCCTGAGGTGGCCAGAAGAGGGCGTCAGGTCCTCTGAAATTGGAGTTAAAGACTGTTATTAGCCACCATGTGGATGCTAGAAACGCAACCCCAGTCCTGTACAAGAGCTAAAATGCTCTTAACTGTGATACTCTCTCCCCAGTCCCTCATCTTGAGCATTTTCTTCCATCATGTGACTCAGGAGCCAAGGCCGGGTTGGGAAAACCTGAGGCCGCTCAGGGAGAAAGCTAAGAGCCTTCCTGTCTGTGCCAGGGACCGGGAGGAGACAGGACCGGCAGGAGGCGCACCCAGAGCTCTGTGCCTTTTTCTTGGTGCCAGAGAAACACAGAAGGAGCCACTTCTAAAAGAACACAGTGTTTTTTCTCCTCTTCTCACCTCCCCTGGGCCAATGCCTGTGATAATTGGGAAGCAGAGTCTGGTTTTTCTGGGACCGGAACCAATGCTGGGAGAGTGTTCCGACAATACGCGCTGTTGATTGACAGTTGATAGACAATGTTCTCGAGTAAGATTTTTTCTGCGCCGGGTGTTAAGCTGAGGACTGCACTAAACAACTTCAACAGCCTGCGTCCTGTTCAGGTAAAATTTACTACACGTTCTCTCTGTGGGTCGCAGCGAAGCGGCCAAGTGAGATGGTATCTCGGGTCCCTTCCAGCCCCATCACTCAAGGACTCTATCAAGAAGAAAACACAGATCTGAAAACGGTTTTCCTCCGAACACTGAGGTGGGGCTATTATTCACACGGAGAATCAGGCTCTGGTGCAGAGATAACTACGGGAAACAAGGAGCTTCGATCCTGGTCTCATCATCTCTGACCTAGTAATTCCACTTGAGCAAATTTATCTTTAGAAAGGTACACAGAAGGACAGAGTTGTGCATGCAGAGGAGGCTGCTTTGTCCCCATGCACAGAGAAGTTCCGCCGGACGAAATAACGTCCAGCACAAGAAGGGGATGTATTACCTGGAGCCATAATCAATAACCGGCATCTCAAAGAAATGTAGAAAGATCTGTGGTAGCTTTTTGAGCCACACCCTACTCTTTTAAACCACGTCCATCTACTTGCTGGTCCCCCCCCCCCCCCATTTAGAAAAAATTATTACTATTTAAAGTTTCGCTGTTGTCTGGGCTGATTTCAAATTTGTGGGCTCTAAATACTGCTCCCCCCCACTCCCCTAAGTAACTGAGACCACAAGAATGCCACATCATGCTTGACTATCTTTTTTTTTAAAAAACAACAACAACAACAACAACAACAACAAAAACCCTCAAATGGATAGTTTAAAAACAAAAAACAAAAAACAAAAAAAACACAGCACTTCACAGATGCCAAACGTACTGAGTTGTAAAACTTTGGTTGCAGTTCCGTGGGTCACAATCTATATGGTAGGGTTATAGTTAAAACATCGTAAAGTTCACAGGTCTAAACACTTTAAAATACTAAGTATGAGCAAGACTATAAAGAAATAGGCAGAAAAAAGTAGGTGCTAGAAAAGCTCAGGCCGAACATCGCAGGCTGCCTGCCTTCTGCATGTCTTCTGTGATGTCTGCAGGCTGCTCCAGTCTCGCCAGAACACAAGAGTACTGTCGAAGAATACAAGACGATAAGGATTAACAGTACAAGGCCATAATTAGATTCCAACGGGCAGAATGGTTCAAACTGGGAGTAAAGGAACAGGGCTTGTAGGCTGAGCCTCGTAGGGCTGACTGAATTTAAATGAGGTTAGCCTAAAACTGTGCAGGGAGGGATGCCACGGACAGATGCAAGAAGAAAGATGTTAAAAAAAAAAAGAAGAGAAAAAGAGAAAGAGAGAGGAGGGAGGGAGAAGGAGGAGGGAGGAAGAAAGAAAGGAAAGATTGAAAAGAAAGGAAGGAAAAAGGGAGGGAGAGAGAGGAAGGAAGGAAAGGAAGGAAGGAAGGAAGAAAGAAAGAAAGAAAAAAAGAAAGAAAGAAGGAAGGAAGGAAAAAAAGAAGGACTAGAAGGTTCATTCTTAGTGGGTAAAGCGTTCTCCACCCGGCTGGTCCGCGGATCTCATCCCAATACCGCCCCTTGGCGTCCGCCCCTCACAAATATGGCCGAGGCAAGGGGGACGTGCCCCTCAACAAGATGGCGACGGCAGTGGCCCCGCCTCCTTCTGCCGCGCCAGCCAATGAAAGAGAAGCACGAGAATTTGCGCGTGCGTGGTGCGACTTAGTGGGCCGGTCCAGTGCGGGGGACACGGCGAGCAATATGACTAAAAAGAAGCGGGAGAATCTGGGCGTCGCTCAGGAGGTGAGGGGAGAAGTCAGGTTTGGACCATGTGGTTGTTCGCCGTGTTCCCCTGGGCGTGGGTCGCCCCGGCGGCTGCGAGGGGGACCAGAAGGAGGAAGCGGGGCGACGTGGCTTTGGGAGAGGCGGCGAGGCGTGAGGGCCCTGAGGGGAGGGAATCCAGGCCCGGGGATGTCCGGAAGCAGAGGCCCACAGAAGACAAAGCATAGACGGTATTCTAAGGGGAGGGACTCGGACATGCAGGGGAGACCTGTGATTCAGAAGTCGCCGAAAAAGGACCAGTGGGTACTGTCGGTGTTAGGGACCTGGAGTCGAGGGGACTGTGGAGCTAGGACCTAGGGACGAGTGCGCTTCTGTTATCGCTCTAACGCCTCCAGAGATGGGGAGTTTTTCCTGTGGAAATTAGCTCTGAGGATCTCTGGGAATCTGGCAAGAATTCTAGAGCTGGTGTTAGGGAAGGCCTTTGAAATAGTTCTCACACATGCAGAGAAAGACTTCCGAGGCACGTTGAGTACCTTATGCGACTCTCCTCCCTGCGTTCTCAGTGGATCCTTGCATGCCTGTCATGTTGGTATAGATGAGGGGACCAAGGTTCGAAGTAGAACCCAGGGGTATGGAAGTGCATGCTTGTAGTCCCAGGACTCAGAGAGCTAAGGTAGCAAGCTAAGGTGAGTTCAAAACCAGCCTGGGATACAGAGCAAGACAGCGCCCCAAAAGGGGAAAGAAAAGGCTGAATCCAGCTGAAAATGGTAAAGATGACGAGCGGAGAATGACGCTCAGGTGGGCTTCCCAGAAGCGGGTACTCATTTCATCTCAGCTACCATAGCAGGCATGTCAGCCTGTGGCCCTTAGGCCCCAGGTGTCCCAGCACATACAGGAATGTAACTCAACACGTTTGTAGATGAGTGTTAGGTATCACTGTCCAAAGCCTCCCAGAGGCTTCCTGCCTACTGGGTGAGTCTAAAAGACTCATCGCAGAGTTTGCAGAAGTGGAGACATGACTGCTTCTTTATCCCAGGTTACTCGGAAGGACCTGAGTGTGTGGTTGAAGCCACACGTATCCATGCTGATGCAGGTGGTGTTTGGCCATTGCCATTGAGAGAAGCTCAGCTGTGTCCGCTTGCAAATGGAACATCCCAGCTGTGCATGCTGACTCCTTGTTCACCTCGTGAAGGGTCGGGGAGGGTCATAACCCTCACCTGAGTGTCCAGCCTCTCCTATATCACCTGTTGAATGCAACTCGGCCTGTTGTATTGCATGTGGGTGGCCTCAGAGCTGGGCTCCGTATTTAAGCTAGGGAAAGCTAGGCGAGGGGGCGCCATCTCTGCGGCTGTGAGAAAACGCTCATCCCTGTTAGGTAAAGAAAGGCCTTCCAAGTGTGGGCTGTTGGGGAGGAGCATCCATACCACCAAGTAACCCTCCACCTAGTCTCTAAGGAAGCCCGATAAACTCAGTAAAGTGAACTTGGTCAGAACGATAGCTCAGTTTGTCATTGAGATTTTCGGAGGAGGGGTGGGCGTTGCTTCTCTCCACACCCCCCCCCAAAGATTTTAGCAACAAAAGCAGGTGATTGTAGTAGCGCCATCCCAACTGGGTTTGGCCTGCTTGGTAGGGGGAGACGTGCTTGGAAATGTGCACTCCTTTAGACTAAAGCATGCGCGGTGACATAAGCTGGCATCTGCGGCTAAGGGATAGACGTGATAGCCTGTGTTAGAGCACAGTGAGTTACTGTACCAGAAACCCCAAAACTCTGAAGCCTCAAGAATGAAAAGGCTGTGTTAGCTAACGGCCTGGAGAAGAGGTCATGTGTAGAAAAGTCAAACGTTTCTGGTTTAGACTTTGTGAGTCCGATGCCTCTGTGGCAGCTCTTGTCAGTTGTCACGGACTCCAAATCTGCCTCCTGGCTGTGGCCTGTCTGTCGTCCTCTCATCAGCGCCAGCGTGTTTGCGAAAGTGGCAGTGCATGGGATTCACCTGAGAGCCGCCGTTCCGGCTGAGACTGAGCAAGTGCAGCTCTGCCCTGTTTGAGCTGTCATGCCATAACAAATGTCCTTTTTATGGGCTTTCTAGGGCCGCAATTTTTGCATTTTTGTGCTCTTTATTGGTGATTTCGCTACTTCAAGGGATCCCTAAGCACAGCGCTAAAGTGCTGTCTAGTGTTCCAGGGCTGTGGTGTGGCTTCTAGGGACAATCGGTTTGTTAGATTAGCCATTTTCCAGGCATGAAGCAGCTTGGTACTACATAATGCTTTGGGCAATGCGTTCATTGCTAACGAACTGTCCATTTATTAAATAAGGTCTCTAACAAAACACACATCAGAGAGCACTGTGTATGTATTAGTTGATGAAGACGTTGACCAGAGCTTTGTGGAAGCCCAGCCCTCTTCAGTATTGCTAACTTGACGTTGGGCCAATTTTAAAGGCTGTAAGTACCGGGGCTGGAGAGATGGCTCAGTGCTTAAGAGCACTGGCTGTTCTGGCAGAGGACCAGGGTTGTTTCCCACCATCCGCATGACAGCTCACAATCTCTCTACCTCCAGTTCCGAGGGACCCGATGCCTTTTTTTTTTTTTTTTTTGGCCTCTTTGGACACCAGGCACACATGTGGTACACAAACGTAAGCAATCATTCATAAAATATAAATAAATCTTGAAAGAAAAAAATATATCTACGATAGCCAGTTATGGTGGCGTATGCCTATAATCTCAGCACTTGGGAAAGAGAGAGATCAGGAGTTCAAGACCATCCTTACTACATAGCCCAACCTACAATACATGTGATCCTGACTCAGATACACAAAAAATGTAGCTGCCTTGAATCAGTCTGTCTTAGTAGAAAAGCAGCTCTTATTTAAAGCTAACGGTGTGCTTAAGAGGCAGAGATAGAAAGCTTATGAGTTTATGGCCGGCATAGAGCACAGTAGTGAGAAACATCTCAAAAAACAGCGCCCTTTCTTTCTAAGAAGAGTAAGCAGAGTATGTTTGGTCCATAGGCCTTTGATTGCCAGCCTCTGGTCCATTGGACTGGGGGCTCTGCCATCTTAACAAGATCGGGACACACCTCACTGGTATGTTCCTTTTTTTTTCCTTCACTGGTATGTTCTTAAGGAAGTCGCCAGTGCATTAAGGACCCTGGCCCTAGACTGCCCACTTTCTGTTTTTAAAAATCAAGGTGCATGGCCTCACTACCTGCCAGGGCAGCTGGGAAACGGGCTCATCAGCCAGGAGGCCACATGCCCAGCTGTAGCCTGATAGCCATGGGAGAATGGGCTGGCATGTGGGGACCAGGTCTCCCTCAGATCACACTTCCCCTCACAGTGTTGCTGTCAGGTGGCCAAGGACAGCCAGCCAACTTTTGTAGATCTGAGTTCATCCCCCTCTTCCTGCTTCGGTTTCCTCATCAGTAACATAGAAGAGTAGCTCCTGTCTTTCATCAAGCTCACTCAGATCAATTGATGGATCTACCTATCCATCTATCTATGGTGGGGCTAGAGCCCAGTGCTCTGCTGTTGAGCTACACCCTCAGCCTCCAGCACAGAATTTTAAGTGTTCGACATGACATGGATTCTCTTAGTACTTTATATGGGAACAGATCTACCCATTTTGCAGCATTCTGCATGATGTGGCGCTGGTTAGTTTCTTGTCAAGTTGACACAAACTAGGATCATTTAGGAAGAAAGGACTTCAAGAGATTGCCTCCATCACAGTGGTCTGTGGGCGAGTCTACGGGGCATTTTCCTGATGAATGCCTTGGTGTGGGAGAGCCCACCCAGCTGAGTGGCGCCTCCCTGGGCAGGTGGTCCAGGGTTGTGTAAGAGGGCAGGCAGAACAACCCATGAAGAGCAGCCCACTGAGCAGCAGTCTTCCATGGCCTCTGCCTGAGTTCCCTTCATGATGGTAAACTGGGAAGCTGAAATTAATCCTTTCCTTCTCGAGTTGTTTTTGGTCATGTCATTTATCACAGCAACAGAAAAGCAAACCAGAATGGAGCTTGGTGTCAGGTTCCTGGGGTATTGCTGTGGTCTTGAGCATGTTGTCTGGGAGGATTGTGGGGGTGTTTGGAACCTTGGGCTGGAAATATCACTAGTGACCCAAGCGTAATGAGCTCTTGTTGGAGCTTGGAAAATCACCAAGAGCAGTGCAGATGATGGAGGCCTGGCTTGTGCAGGTTCAGAGCAAAGACAAGACTCCATCAGGGCCGACTGTGGTGTGCTGTTTTCTGTGGTCTTCTTGGACTGAAGAAGCAGCTGTGATTTAAGGAGAGACCAGCACAGTAGGCAAGCCCTAGCCCTAGCCCTAGCCCATTTCCACCCACCCCTTCAGTAACTGCACTTTTATAGATGTTTGCATGGAGATTTAAAATACTGGCAAATAGACAGATTATAAAACTGTATGAGCATGTAGGAATCTGCAGCCTTAGTCCCTACGGTTACTTTTTGTTGGGGTATTGGAGGATTTGAGACCTGTATCCCTGGGCCTCAGCCTGGCATCTGGCTGCTTCTCTGCTTCCTTCTCTGTTGCCCGCAGCGGGCCTGAGTATTGACTGTGCATTGATGCTCGGTGGCGGTAGATATTGTCCTCTTATTAAAAGTCGTTCGCGCAGAGCTGGTGAAGTGGTGATTTAATCAAAAATGTTTGTTAATCTGACGAGTGCAATAAAAGCCCACAAGTGAGAGATCTCAGCACCTGCAAACAGCTCTTGCTTGTCTTAATGAAACAATTACCAAGCAGGTGGCCCTCGCCCTGAGGGTGGTCATGGGCCAACTGTGCCAGGTGGTCACCTAGCAGCCAGGCCCCCTTCAGAGGCCCATGGGAGTCATCTGGAAACAACTGACTGTTGGTTCTGAGTTTGTTCTGAGCAATGAGCAAAGCCCTATTCCATGAGAAATCGCTGCCCAGATGGACAGGGGCAGTTTGGGCTGATGGTGGTTCATGTGCAGTTTAAACCGAGACAGTAACTGGACTTGTTTCTTTGGTGGCTGGCCTGCAAGCCTTGGGCCCTTACTA